TTTTGCACACGCTAGACCCTTGTTCTTGCAATTTTGCACACGCTAGGCCCTTGTTCTTGCAATTTTGCGCACGCTAGGCCCTTGTTCTTGCTATTTTGCCCACGCTAGACCCTTGTTCCTGCAATTTTGCACGCACTATGCCCTTGTTCTTGCAATTTTGCACACGCAAGACCCTTGTTCTTGCAATTTTGCACACGCTAGGCCCTTGTTCTTGCAATTTTGCACACGCTAGGCACTTGTTTTTGCTATTTTGCACACGCTAGACCCTTGTTCTTGCAATTCTGCACACGCTATGCCCTTGTTCTTGCTATTTTGCACACGCAAGATCCTTGTTTTTGCAATTTTGCACACGCTAGGCCCTTGTTCTTGCAATTTTGCAAACGCTAGGCCCTTGTTCTTGCAATTTTGCACACGCTAGGCCCTTGTTCTTGCAATTTTGCACACGCTAGGCCCTTGTTCTTGCTATTTTGCACACGCTAGGCCCTTGTTCTTGCAATTTTGCACACGCTAGGCCCTTGTTCTTGCTATTTTGCACACGCTAGACCCTTGTTCTTGCAATTTTGCACACGCTAGGCCCTTGTTCTTGCTATTTTGCACACGCTAGACCCTTGTTCTTGCAATTTTGCACTTGCTAGGCCCTTGTTCTTGCAATTTTGCACACGCTAGGCCCTTGTTCTTGCAATTTTGCACATGCTAGGCCCTTGTTCTTGCAATTTTGCACAAGCTAGGCCCTTGTTCTTGCAATTCTGCACACGGTAGACCCTTGTTCTTGCAATTTTGCACACGCTAGGCCCTTGTTCTTGCTATTTTGCACACGATAGACCCTTGTTCTTGCAATTTTGCACATGCTAGGCCCTTGTTCTTGCAATTTTGCACAAGCTAGGCCCTTGTTCTTGCAATTCTGCACACGCTAGGCCCTTGTTCTTGCAATTCTGCACACGCTAGACCCTTGTTCTTGCAATTTTGCACACGCTAGGCCCTTGTTCTTGCTATTTTGCACACGCTAGACCCTTGTTCTTGCAATTTTGCACACGCTAGGCCCTTGTTCTTCCTATTTTGCACACGCTAGACCCTTGTTCTTGCAATTTTGCACTTGCTAGGTCCTTGTTCTTGCAATTTTGCACACGCTAGGCTCTTGTTCTTGCTATTTTGCACACGCTAGCCCCTTTTTCTTGCTATTTTGCACACGCTAGGCCCTTGTTCTTGCAATTTTGCACACGCTAGGCCCTTGTTCCTTTTATTTTGCACACGCTATGCCCTTGTTCTTTTTATTTTGCACACGCTAGGCCCTTGTTCTTTTTATTTTGCACACGCTAGGCCCTTGTTCTTGCAATTTTGCACACGCTAGGCCCTTGTTCTTTTTATTTTTCACATGCTAGGCCCTTGTTCTTTTTATTTTGCACACGCTATGCCCTTGTTCTTTTTATTTTGCACACGCTAGGCCCTTGTTCTTGCAATTTTGCACATGCTAGACCCTTGTTCTTTTTATTTTGCACACGCTAGGCCCTTGTCTTGCTATTTCGCGAACGCTAGGCCCTTGTTCTTGATTTTTTGCACACACTAGGCCCTTGCTCTTGCTATTTTGCACACGCTAGGCCCTTGTTCTTTTTATTTTGCACACGCTAGGCCCTTGTTCTTGCTTTTTTGCACACACTATGCCGTTGTTCTTTTTATTTTGCACACGCTAGGCCCTTGTTCTTGCAATTTTGCACATGCTAGATCCTTATTCTTTTTATTTTGCACACGCTAGGCCCTTGCTCTTGCTATTTCGCGAACGCTAGGCCCGTGTTCTTGATTTTTTGCACACGCTAGGCCCTTGCTCTTGCTATTTTGCACTCGCTAGGCCCTTGTTCTTGCAAATTTGCATACGCTAGGCCCTTGTTTTTGCAATTTTGCACACGCTAGGCCCTTGTTCTTTTTATTTTGCACACGCTATGCCCTTGTTCTTTTTATTTTGCACACGCTAGGCCCTTGTTCTTTTTATTTTGCACACGCTATGCCCTTGTTCTTGCTATTTTGCACACGCTATGCCCTTATTCTTTTTATTTTGCACACGCTAGGCCCTTGTTCTTGATTTTCTGCACACGCTAGGCCCTTGCTCTTGCTATTTTGCACTCGCTAGGCCCTTGTTCTTGCAATTTTGCACACGCTAGGCCCTTGTTCTTGCAATTTTGCACACGCTAGGCCCTTGTTCTTTTCATTTTGCACACGCTAGGCCCTTGTTCTTTTTATTTTGCACACGCTAGGCCCTTGTTCTTGCTATTTTGCACACGCTATGCCCTTGTTCTTTTTATTTTGCACACGCTAGGCCCTTGTTCTTGCAATTTTGCACATGCTAGACCATTGTTCTCTTTATTTTGCAGACGCTAGGCCCTTGTTCTTGCTATTTCGCGAACGCTAGGCCCTTGTTCTTGAATTTTTGCACACACTAGGCCCTTGCTCTTGCTATTTTGCACTTGCTAGGCCCTTGTTCTTGCAATTTTGCACACGCTAGACCCTTGTTCTTTTTATTTTGCACACGCTAGGCCCTTGTTCTTTTTATTTTGCACGCGCTAGGCCCTTGTGTTTGCTATTTTGCACACGCTATGCCCTTGTTCTTGCAATTTTGCACACGCTAGGCCCTTGTTCTTGCAATTTTGCACATGCTAGACCCTTGTTCTTTTTATTTTGCACATGCAAGTCCCTTGCTCTTGCTATTTCGCGAATGCTAGGCCCTTGTTCTTGATTTTTTGCACACGCTAGGCCCTTGCTCTTGCTATTTTGCACCCGCTAGGCCCTTGTTCTTGCTATTTCGCGAACGCTAGGCCCTTGTTCTTGCTATTTCGCGAACGCTAGGCCCTTGTTCTTTTTATTTTGCACACGCTAGGCCCTTGTTCTTGCTATTTTGCACACGCTATGTTCTTGTTCTTTTTATTTTGCACACGCTAGGCCCTTGTTCTTGCAATTTTGCACATGCTAGGCCCTTGTTCTTGCTATTTCGCGAACGCTAGGCCCTTGTTCTTGATTTTTTGCACACGCTAGGCCCTTGCTCTTGCTATTTTGCACTCGCTAGGCCCTTGTTCTTGCAATTTTGCACACGCTAGGCCCTTGTTCTTGCAATTTTGCACACGCTAGGCCCTTGTTCTTTTCATTTTGCACACGCTAGGCCCTTGTTCTTTTTATTTTGCACACGCTATGCTCTTGTTCTTGCTATTTTGCACACGCTATGCCCTTGTTCTTTTTATTTTGCACACGCTAGGCCCTTGTTCTTGCAATTTTGCACATGCTAGACCATTCTTCTCTTTATTTTGCAGACGCTAGGCCCTTGTTCTTGCTATTTCGCGAACGCTAGGCCCTTGTTCATGAATTTTTGCACACACTAGGCCCTTGTTCTTGCTATTTTGCACTCGCTAGGCCCTTGTTCTTGCAATTTTGCACACGCTAGGCCGTTGTTCTTGCAATTTTGCACACGCTAGGCCCTTGTTCTTTTTATTTTGCACACGCTAGGCCCTTGTTTTGCTATTTTGCACACGCTATGCCCTTGTTCTTGCAATTTTGCACACGCTAGGCCCTTGTTCTTGCAATTTTGCACATGCTAGACCCTTGTTCTTTTTATTTTGCACACGCTAGGCCCTTGCTCTTGCTATTTCGCGAATGCTAGGCCCTTGTTCTTGATTTTTTGCACACGCTAGGCCCTTGCTCTTGCTATTTTGCACTCGCTAGGCCCTTGTTCTTGCAATTTTGCACACACTAGGCCCTTGTTCTAGCAATTTTGCACACCCTAGTCCCTTGTTCTTTTTATTTTGCACACGCTAGGCCCTTGTTCTTTTTATTTGCATACGCTAGGCCCTTGTTCTTTTTATTTTGCATACGCTAGGCCCTTGTTCTTTTTATTTTGCACACGCTAGGCCCTTGTTCTTGCTATTTTGCACACACTATGCCCTTGTTCTTTTTATTTTGCACACGCTAGGCCCTTGTTCTTTTTATTTTGCACACGCTAGGCCCTTGTTCTTTTAATTTTGCACACGCTAGGCCCTTGTTCTTTTTATTTTGCATACGCTAGGCCCTTGTTCTTTTTATTTTGCATACGCTAGGCCCTTGTTCTTTTTATTTTGCACACGCTAGGCCGTTGCTCTTGCAATTTTGCACACGCTAGGCCCTTGTTCTTGCAATTTTGCACACGCTAGGCCCTTGTTCTTTCAATTTTGCACACGCTAGGCCCTTGATCTTTTTATTTTGCACACGCTAGGCCATTGTTCTTTTTATTTTGCACACGCTAGCCCCTTGTTCTTGCTATTTTGCACACGCTATGCCCTTGTTCTTTTTATTTTGCACACGCTAGGCCCTTGTTCTTGCAATTTTGCACATGCTAGACCCTTGTTCTTTTTATTTTGCACACGCTTGGCCCTTGTTCTTTTTATTTTGCACACGCTAGGCCCTTGTTTTTGCACTTTTGCACACGCTAGGCCCTTGTTCTTTTTATTTTACACACGCTAGGCCCTTGTTCATGCTATTTTGCACACCCTATGCCCTTGTTCTTTTTATTTTGCACACGCTAGGCCCTGTGAAAATGTGTAAGCAGGAATGAGAATGACTAAGTCAAAGTTGGGTACAAATACAACCCTAGAAAACTGTACCCCATATGTGCTACCCCACTATAGCCTACAAACATGCATCAGCTATGATAATCTGACACACCCCCATAGGCAAAGTGGGGGAGAACAAGGGGTCACAAGACCAGTCAAGCAAAGCAAAGCAAGCTCAGGGTGGATCACAAAGTCACCACACAGTCCGAGCACAAGAGCAGGGCCAGAGGCCAGTTCACATGCAGGAGTACAGACATATATATAAAACTAGACAAGCAAGAGCAGGTATATATATATGTCACAGTACAAGTAAAGTCAAGAGGAGAGCAAGTGAGGCAAGACAGGCACAAGACCCAGCTGGGTGCAAAAGCGCTGATGGTCACAAGGCGCGAGTGCCTTGGTGAACACATCAGCAGTGTTGGCCTCAGAGGCCACCTACGCAAGTCGCAACTGACCACGCTGCTGCAGCTCACGAGCAAGAAAGTAGCGGAGAGCAATGTGCTTCGTTCTGTGCTCCAAGCGCTGCTCTCGACACAAGGCCAGCATAGCCTTGTTGTCTACGTACAGCACTGGAGGAGAACGAGGCGGCTCTCCAAGGTCAGTCAGCAGGTAGGTGAGCCAGCGAAGCTCCTGTGCAGCCATGGCCCCGGCGTAGATCTCAGCCTCACAACTGGAGCCGAGAACTGAAGACGAGCGAGTAGACCGCCACGAGACAGAGCCGGAACCAAGGCTGAAGGTGTAGCCCTGTGACGACCGCTGCGTAGCCTGGTCGTCAGCCCAAGAAGCGTCCGCGTGGCCGGTAAGGACCACTGGACTCCGCCCTCCAAGCACTAGCCCCATGCCCGACGTACTGCACAGGTAGCGCAATACCCTCTTCGCTGCAGCCATGTGCTCCGGTCTGTGTCTCCCAGGAGCAACATAGCGTGCAAGAATGCTCAGAGGGTATGCAAGGTCAGGTCGTGTGCAGGTCATCAGGTACATGAGGCAGCCAACAAGCTCTGCATACGGACCACTCGACTCTACGGACTCATCCGAAGGCAGAGCTGAGAGTGAGTGGCGAGTAGGCAGAGGAGTGGCCTGAGGCGAGGAGTACGTGAAGCCGAAGCGCTGAAGGACCTGCTGCACCATGTGTGACTGAGTCAAGGTAATGGTGCGGCGTGCTCTGTCCCGAGTGATCTGCAAGCCAAGGTAGCTGCGCAGTTCACCCAGGTCTGTGCACGTGTGTCTCTTCAGCAGCTCGGACTTCACGTAGGCGAGTCCAGCAGTGTCCGCTGTGGCAAAGACCAAGTCGTCGACGTACACGAGGATGTAGAACGGCGGCAGGGAAGTGTCGGTGCGAAGAAACAGCGACGGGTCAGCAGTAGAAGGAGCAAACCCAAGAGCCGCAAGCGTAGTCCTCAGTGTGTCGTGCCACTCACGCGGTGCCTGGCGGAGACCGTAGACTGGCCGTCGGAGGCTCCACTGGGTGCCAGGAGGGAAAGTCCCAGTGAAGCCAGGTGGACGGCGAAGCCAGATCTCCTCGTGCAGGCTACCCTGCAGGAACGCAGTGCTGAAGTCGAGAGAGTGAAGCTCGTAGTCGCGCTGAGCGGCTATGTGCAGCAGCACCCGAAGAGTGGTCATCTTCGGGGTGGGAGAGAAGGTCTGAAAGTAGTCGACTCCCTGCCGCTGACTGAAGCCACGAGCAACGTACCGTGCCTTGAAGACAGGTGGAGAGCCCGGCGGCCGCTGCACCCTGAAGATCCACATGCCACTGACGATGTTCGCCCCAGGAGGGGGAACCGCGTCAACGTAGGTGCCTGTGGACTTCCAGGAAGCCATCTCTGCATCCATAGCTGCCTGCCACTGAGAGGAGTAGGGACCCTCTACGGCCTCCGCGTAAGAACGCGGAGTCGGGATGTCTAGTGCATCCGGGTCTCCCTCAGGGGCAAGCAGTACAGACGCGAGATGAGGTGAAGCAGCCGCTAGACACTGTAACTCCTCCTGCCTGTCCTCTAGGACGTCCGTGCCAAGAGCACACTCACCCCTGACGGACGGAGGACAGACAGACTCAGCAACAAGACTAGCAGCGTAGTCGAGACGACAGCGGGCAGCAAAGTCAACGAGCTCAGCGACTAGAGCAGACGCAGCAGTGGACTCAAAAGAGGGGTCAGTGACGACAGTAGCAAGCAGACGCGTGACAGTAGGACTCGCAGCGCGAAGAGAGTCCGACTCAGGGTCGGCAAGCGCAGGAAGAGAGGACTCAGGAGGAGAAGGCAAAGGGGCACGCAGAGGAGCAGTGGACGGACGCAGAGACATCCGGTGCGTGCCAGGGACAGGAGGAGGACGCTGACGCGAACTGCGACCACTAGCGCGAGCAGCACGAACAGGCGACGCGGGACGAGACGCAGGCTCACGACGCTCAGCAAGACCTCCAGTAGGACCAGTGTAAGGAGAGGGAGCAGGCAGTGGAGAGGAAGGCTCCAGTAGGGACTGCGACTGGACAGGCGGTGGACCCTCTACTGGAGGAGAAAGACCAAGAACCTGCTGCAGGAGCGGAACGAAGTACGGCCGAGGCCGCGCGGCAGCTCCAGACTCAGCAGGGACAGCACCAGCACCCTCAGCTACAGCACCAGCGCCACCCACACCTCCAGCGGCAGGACCAACAGCAGCAGGCTCAGCACGAACGCCCTCAGCAGCTCCAGCTCCAGGAGGACCCGCAGGTCCAGCAGCTCCGGGACCGGCAGCACCCGCACCCTCGACGGTCGAAGAAGCTCCAGCTCCAGCACCAGCAGCACCTCCAGACTCAGCAGCACGCCTCCAGCGGCGAGCGAACCACTCGCGCAGCTCCTGTGGAGAGAGGGGCTCCCGGCGAGACGCAGCAGCAGGAGAAACCCCAGGCTCAGTAGCTCCAGACGCAGCACCCCCGCTCCCAGCTCAGCACCCCCAGGCTCAGCAGCTCCCGACCCAGCACCCCCAGACCCAGCACCTCCAGGCACAGCACCCCCCGGCTCAGCACCCCCAGGCTCCGCACCCTCAGGAGTAGCACCCTCAGGCCCAGCACCCCCAGCAGTAGCACCCCCAGGCTCAGCACCCCCGCGCACAGCACCCCCAGAGTCAGCACCCCCAGGCTCAGCACCCGCAGCAGCACCAGAGTCACCAGTAACCTCGACCGGGTCAACGGCGTCTACCTGGGACACACCTGAGGGGGCAGGAACCTGAGGGGGGAGGGGGTCTACCGGGGGGGGAACCGGCACAAGGAAGTCCGGGGGAGGGGGGAGGGAAGGAGTGCGGTAGGGGAAGAGACGGTAGAAGGGGACTGACTCGTCGAACGTGACGTCCTGGGAGGACAGAACACGACGAGAGGAGGGGTGGTAAAACTGCCACCCTGGGGCGTCAGTGGGGAAGCCAAGGAAGACACAGGGAGCAGCACGAGGGGACAGCTTGTCCGCAGACAAGTCGCGGACAAACGCCCGAGATCCCCAGACACGGAACACAGACGCATCGCCAACCTTCCCCGTCCACAGCAAGACTGGGGACATCGCAGGCCGAGAGACCCGGGGGTGAAGGTTGAGCTGATGCGCCGCGTACCTCACCGCAAACGGCCACAGAAAATGGGGGGCAGCCGCATGCATCATGGACGTACGAGCGACATCCATGACCATGCCAATGCGGCGCTCAGCAATCCCATTTTGCTGTGGTGAGTCCGGAAGGGTGAAGGTCTGGCGGATCCCCCGTGCACGACAGTAGTCCCGCAGAAGGCGAGAAGAGAACTCTCCGCCTCTGTCAGAGTGCAGACGCAGAACAGGAAAGTCCGAGCCGAAGCTCTTCCTGAGCTGGAGACAAGCCTCGCGGATCCAGTCGATCAGCACCTCAGTGACCGCACCCTTGCTGCGCAAGGGGAGGACTGTGGTGTAACGCGAGTAGTCGTCAACCACCAACAGGAAGTAGCGCTCGTAACCCTGCCCACGGACGGGGGCTGGGCCCCACACATCCATGTGAAGCGTCTGCAAGGGAGCCTCTGTCGGGGGGAAGTGGGAGGAGTGAGGAGTAGCCCGGAGGCGACCCTCGACACAGGGGACACAGGAAGGTCCTGGCCCGGAGGGGAGAGGAGGGAGAGACTGGGGAAGACCAGAGACAAGGACACGGGAAGCCATGCTCCGAAGACGGGGCAAGGAGGGGTGGCCAAGACGGTGGTGCCACAGGAGAGTCTCGTGAGACAGGAGGCGACAAGAACAGGGGGCAGACTCAGGACCTGACCGGGACGCAGCAGCAAGTACCTGACCCGACGCAGCCACCTGACCAGACGCAGGGACAGGAGGAGACTCAACGGTCAGGGTGTAGAGACTCGACCCCGGCCGACGCGAGAACGTGGCCAGGTGTCGGCCTGTGCGTGCCTCCGTGCAGTGGGTCACCCGCTGACTCGCAGGAGTGAACTGGTGAACACCCCCATCCTGCAGGTCCGCTCCACTCACCAAGTTCGTGGAGAACGAGGGAAGGTACAGACCCGACAGGGTGCCCGAAGGGGCAGCCGGACACGGGAGGACAGTGGAGAAGTGAGACAGGACAGGACCTCCAGAGGGGTCAGCAAGGGAGACTGCAACCGGCCGGCCGAGCGGCGTAAGGGTAGTGCGGTCGCGAAAGAAGGAGCGAGAAGCTCCGGAGTCAAGTGTGAAAGTGAGGGAGGACGAGGACGACGCAGTACCTGAGAGCGCAGTCTCACCAGTACCTGAGAGCGCAGACGCACTGGCACCTAGAGCAGCAGCCTCACAAGCACCTAGCGCAAGCAGTACCAATGCCCGGGTCGGGCCGGAAACAACGGTAACCCTCATTCTCCTCACTATAATCCACAACATACATAGCAGTAAGGATAGCATCAAAATCAAGATCAAAGATCGCTACACCAGCCCTGAGAAGCTCATCCCAGCGAGGGATCTCACTAGCCCCAGGGAACTGCTGACGCCAGGCGTCCGTCAGGCGGCCAAAGCAGCGCTGGGTGGCGTGGGCACCCCCACACTGCTCACCCGCGCGGTCGCCGGAACGAAGAACGTAGGTGCAGGGACCAGTACCCCCACCCCTCTGACGCCCAGCGTACCACTCACGAAGCTGCTGAGGCAAAGGGATGTCCCGCGAGCGCTGCTGCTGCTGCCGGTGCGAGCGCTGGCCACCACCACCACCGCTACGCTGCTGGGTACCACCCCGACCAGCTCCACCTCCTCCACCACCACTGCCTCCTCCGCTGCCGCCTCCACCGCCTCCACCTCCGCCGCCTCCACCTCCGCCGCTGCCTCCACCACCACCGCTGGCTCCACCACCACCGTCTCCGCCGCTGCCGCCACCACCACCACCACCACCTCCGCCACTAGTCCCGCCGCCACCCCCACTCCCTCCGCCGCCACCGCCGCCACCGCCACCGCCCCCTCCAGCTCCACCCGCGCCCTTGCCCCCCTTGCCCTTGCTTGAGCGACGTCTCCCACTAGGGGCAGACGCCGCGCCGACCGACTCAAGACCAAGCAGGTCGGCAGCAGCAGCAGAGGCAACAGAGGGCAGCAAGGGGGAAGGAGAGCACCCCTCAAAGATGGGGGTGCGAGGGTCACCACGAGAAGCACCTACAGCGACTATGCTCTTCTCCGCTGCAAGGAGGGACTTCTCGAGGAGGTCGACGGTGAGGGTGGTGGGACAGACTGCGAGAAAGTGGTCCCTGACTACGCGAAGGGAGTCAGGGAGGCGCGCGACTACGTAGTAGAGAGCGATGTACATGGGGGGGGGGTTCTTAGCGCAGAACTCAGCAGGAAGGGCGGCGCGGTAGCGAGTGTCACTAGTGCGGAGGTGCGTAATGAGGTCAGCGACAGTGGGAAAGGCAGAGAGGTCAGGAAAGAGGTAGGGAAGCATGAGACGGCTGAGTGCAGCAGTGGCAGGGGAGGAGTAGCGCGCAACTACAGCGTCGTACAAGGTCTGAGCACTCTTGTACTGACTAAAGTGCGCACGCTCAGAGGTAGGGAGGTGGCGACGCACAGCAAGACGTGCAGCAGCATCGCGGGTGGCCCACTTAGAGCGGACAGCGGGATCAGCATCAGCAGCAGGAGCAGGAGAGGCGCCAGAGGTGAGGTCAAAGAGAGAAAGGTCGTCAGCCCTGTCGCACTGTAAGTACAGCTGCAGGTCGTCTAACCAGACCTCAAAATCAATGGCGCGACCCTCAGCGTCAAAAGCTAGGACACTAGGGGTAGCCATGGCGACGACAGCGACGCAGTGCAAGCAGTAGGGAAAGAGCTCGCAGTGGCAGTGGGACTGTGCTCACCAGGCAGGGCAGGTCGAGTAGGGATGCAGAAAGGCGGCTCAGCGACCTGGCGGTTGGGTGCTGGGCGGCTCGGGCGCAGGGCGGCTCGGCTCCCGGGCGGCTCGGCGGCAGGGCAGCTCGGGGGCAGGGCGACTCGGCTCCCGGGCGGCTCGGCGACAGGGCGGCTCGGGTGCAGGGCGGCTCGGCTCCCGGGCGGCTCGGCTGCAGGGCGGCTCGGCTCCCGGTAGTAGGGGGGGGGGGGCCGCGGTCGAGCAGGCGGCCGGGGCCGCGGTAGTAGCTGGCGGCGAGGCCGTGCGAGCAGGCAGCCGGGGCCGCGACAGGAGCGGGCGGCGGGGCCGCGGTCGAACAGGCGGCTTGGGGCCGCGGTCGTAGCAGGCGGCCGAGGGCCGCGATCGTAGTGGGCGGGCGGCCGCGGCGTAGCGGGCGGCAGGGCCGCGTCGAGCAGGCGGCTGGGGGCTGCGTCGAGCAGGCGGCTGGGGGCCGCGACAGGAGCGGGCGGCGGGGGCCGCGGTCGAACAGGCGGCTGGGGCCGCGGTCGTAGCAGGCGGCCGGGGCCGCGGTCGTAGCAGGCGGCGGCCGCGGGCGTAGCGGGCGGGCAGGGCCGCGTCAAGCAGGCGGCTGGGGGCCGCGTCGAGCAGGCGGCTGGGGGGGGGGGCCGCGACAGGAGCGGGCGGCGGGGGCCGCGGTCGAACAGGCGGCTGGGGGCCGCGGTCGTAGCAGGCGGCCGGGGCCGCGGTCGTAGCAGGCGGCGGCCGCGGCGTAGCGGGCGGCAGGGCCGCGTCGAGCAGGCGGCTGGGGGCCGCGTCGAGCAGGCGGCTGGGGCCGCGTCGAGCAGGCGGCTGGAGCCGCGATCGTAGCGGGCGGCTGGGGCCGCGACTTAGCGGGAGGGAGGCGACACGGAGGGTCGCTCGATAGCGGAAAAAAAAAGGTTGAGCGCGCCTCGGGGCGCGCTTCGGTGGGCCCTAGGCAGAGTTCCACAGGGAACCCGCTCTATACCATGTGAAAATGTGTAAGCAGGAATGAGAATGACTAAGTCAGAGTTGGGTACAAATACAACCCTAGAAAACTGTACCCCATATGTGCTACCCCACTATAGCCTACAAACATGCATCAGCTATGATAATCTGACAGGCCCTTGTTGTTGCAATTTTGCACATGCTAGACCCTTGTTCTTTTTATTTTGCACACGCTAGGCGCTTGTTCTTTTTAGTTTGCACACGCTAGGCCCTTGTTCTTTTTATTTTGCACACGCTAGGCCCTTGTTCTTTTTATTTTGCATACGCTAGGCTTTTGTTCTTTTTATTTTGCATACGCTAGGCCCTTGTTCTTTTTATTTTGCACACGCTAGGCCCTTGTTCTTTTTTTTTTGCACACGCTAGGCCCTTGTTCTTGCTATTTTGCACACGCTATGCCCTTGTTCTTTTTATTTTGCACACGCTAGGCCCTTGTTCTTGCAATTTTGCACATGCTAGACCCTTGTTCTTTTTTTTTTTGCACAAGCTAGGCCCTTGTTCTTTTTATTTTGCATACACTAGGCCCTTGTTCTTTTATTTAGCACACGCTAGGCCCTTGTTCTTTTTATTTTGCATACGCTAGGCCCTTGTTCTTTTTATTTTGCACACGCTAGGCCCTTGTTCTTGCAATTTTGCACACGCTAGGCCCTTGTTCTTTCAATTTTGCACACGCTAGGCCCTTGTTCTTTTTATTTTACACACGCTAAGCCCTTGTTCTTGCTATTTTGCACACGCCATGCCCTTGTTCTTTTTATTTTGCACACGCTAGGCCCTTGTTCTTTTTATTTTGCACACGCTAGGCCCTTGTTTTTGCACTTTTGCACACGCTAGGCCCTTGTTCTTTTTATTTTGCACACGCTAGGCCCCTGTTCTTGCTATTTTGCACACCCTATGCCCTTGTTCTTTTTATTTTGCACACGCTAGGCGCTTGTTCTTTTTAGTTTGCACACGCTAGGCCCTTGTTCTTGCAATTTTGCACACGCTAGGCCCTTGTTCTTTTCATTTTGCACACGCTAGGCCCTTGTTCTTTTTATTTTGCACACGCTAGGCCCTTGTTCTTGCTATTTTGCACACGCTATGCCCTTGTTCTTTTTATTTTGCACACGCTAGGCCCTTGTTCTTGCAATTTTGCACATGCTAGACCATTGTTCTCTTTATTTTGCAGACGCTAGGCCCTTGTTCTTGCTATTTCGCGAACGCTAGGCCCCTTGTTCTTGAATTTTTTGCACACACTAGGCCCTTGCTCTTGCTATTTTGCACTCGCTAGGCCCTTGTTCTTGCAATTTTGCACACGCTAGACCCTTGTTCTTTTTATTTTGCACACGCTAGGCCCTTGTTCTTTTTATTTTGCACGCGCTAGGCCCTTGTGTTTGCTATTTTGCACACGCTATGCCCTTGTTCTTGCAATTTTGCACACGCTAGGCCCTTGTTCTTGCAATTTTGCACATGCTAGACCCTTGTTCTTTTTATTTTGCACATGCAAGTCCCTTGCTCTTGCTATTTCGCGAATGCTAGGCCCTTGTTCTTGATTTTTTGCACACGCTAGGCCCTTGCTCTTGCTATTTTGCACCCGCTAGGCCCTTGTTCTTGCTATTTCGCGAACGCTAGGCCCTTGTTCTTGCTATTTCGCGAACGCTAGGCCCTTGTTCTTTTTATTTTGCACACGCTAGGCCCTTGTTCTTGCTATTTTGCACACGCTATGTTCTTGTTCTTTTTATTTTGCACACGCTAGGCCCTTGTTCTTGCAATTTTGCACATGCTAGGCCCTTGTTCTTGCTATTTCGCGAACGCTAGGCCCTTGTTCTTGATTTTTTTGCACACGCTAGGCCCTTGCCCTTGCTATTTTGCACTCGCTAGGCCCTTGTTCTTGCAATTTTGCACACGCTAGGCCCTTGTTCTTGCAATTTTCTTTTCATTTTGCACACGCTAGGCCCTTGTTCTTTTATTTTGCACACGCTATGCCCTTGTTCTTGCTATTTTGCACACGCTATGCCCTTGTTCTTTTTATTTTGCACACGCTAGGCCCTTGTTCTTGCAATTTTGCACATGCTAGACCATTGTTCTCTTTATTTTGCAGACGCTAGGCCCTTGTTCTTGCTATTTCGCGAACGCTAGGCCCTTGTTCTTGAATTTTTGCACACACTAGGCCCTTGTTCTTGCTATTTTGCACTCGCTAGGCCCTTGTTCTTGCAATTTTGCACACGCTAGGCCGTTTGTTCTTGCAATTTTGCACACGCTAGGCCCTTGTTCTTTTTATTTTGCACACGCTAGGCCCTTGTTTTTGCTATTTTGCACACGCTATGCCCTTGTTCTTGCAATTTTGCACACGCTAGGCCCTTGTTCTTGCAATTTTGCACATGCTAGACCCTTGTTCTTTTTATTTTGCACACGCTAGGCCCTTGCTCTTGCTATTTCGCGAATGCTAGGCCCTTGTTCTTGATTTTTTGCACACGCTAGGCCCTTGCTCTTGCTATTTTGCACTCGCTAGGCCCTTGTTCTTGCAATTTTGCACACACTAGGCCCTTGTTCTAGCAATTTTGCACACCCTAGTCCCTTGTTCTTTTTATTTTGCACACGCTAGGCCCTTGTTCTTTTTATTTTGCATACGCTAGGCCCTTGTTCTTTTTATTTTGCATACGCTAGGCCCTTGTTCTTTTTATTTTGCACACGCTAGGCCCTTGTTCTTGCTATTTTGCACACACTATGCCCTTGTTCTTTTTATTTTGCACACGCTAGGCCCTTGTTCTTTTTATTTTGCACACGCTAGGCCCTTGTTCTTTTAATTTTGCACACGCTAGGCCCTTGTTCTTTTTATTTTGCATACGCTAGGCCCTTGTTCTTTTTATTTTGCATATGCTAGGCCCTTGTTCTTTTTATTTTGCACACGCTAGGCCGTTGCTCTTGCAATTTTGCACACGCTAGGCCCTTGTTCTTGCAATTTTGCACACGCTAGGCCCTTGTTCTTTCAATTTTGCACACGCTAGGCCCTTGATCTTTTTATTTTGCACACGCTAGGCCATTGTTCTTTTTATTTTGCACACGCTAGCCCCTTGTTCTTGCTATTTTGCACACGCTATGCCCTTGTTCTTTTTATTTTGCACACGCTAGGCCCTTGTTCTTGCAATTTTGCACATGCTAGACCCTTGTTCTTTTTATTTTGCACACGCTTGGCCCTTGTTCTTTTTATTTTGCACACGCTAGGCCCTTGTTTTTGCACTTTTGCACACGCTAGGCCCTTGTTCTTTTTATTTTGCACACGCTAGGCCCTTGTTCTTGCTATTTTGCACACCCTATGCCCTTGTTCTTTTTATTTTGCACACGCTAGGCCCTTGTTGTTGCAATTTTGCACATGCTAGACCCTTGTTCTTTTTATTTTGCACACGCTAGGCGCTTGTTCTTTTTAGTTTGCACACGCTAGGCCCTTGTTCTTTTTATTTTGCACACGCTAGGCCCTTGTTCTTTTTATTTTGCATACGCTAGGCTTTTGTTCTTTTTATTTTGCATACGCTAGGCCCTTGTTCTTTTTATTTTGCACACGCTAGGCCCTTGTTCTTTTTTTTTTTGCACACGCTAGGCCCTTGTTCTTGCTATTTTGCACACGCTATGCCCTTGTTCTTTTTATTTTGCACACGCTAGGCCCTTGTTCTTGCAATTTTTGCACATGCTAGACCCTTGTTCTTTTTTTTTTTGCACAAGCTAGGCCCTTGTTCTTTTTATTTTGCACACGCTAGGCCCTTGTTCTTTTTATTTTGCATACACTAGGCCCTTGTTCTTTTTATTTAGCACACGCTAGGCCCTTGTTCTTTTTATTTTGCATACGCTAGGCCCTTGTTCTTTTTATTTTGCACACGCTAGGCCCTTGTTCTTGCAATTTTTGCACACGCTAGGCCCTTGTTCTTTCAATTTTGCACACGCTAGGC